AAAAGCTAGGAACTAGTACACTGCACCTTTTCGGAGAAGGAGGAAATCAGAGTTATCGAGAACGTGGGCTATCACCTTTGGAGCAAGGATCTAGTGTCGAAAATTATGCTAAGAGGACGGCACAATATCTTGTGTTTTTACTGAAAACATCAGGACCGAAGAATCAACATCAAGATTTGCGACGACACCTCGAAAATGTTTGTTCATTGTCGAGTTTAAAGGATACGTTACCGTCTGGTGATCAGTCGGGTACTAATAGTGATGATATTTTCAACATGGAGATGGAAGAAGAGGAAGTAGATGAAATAGACTATGATGACTATGATGGCTGTGATGACTGTGAGGACAATGTTTCGCAAAACAATCAGTGTTACGAGGAAAACGAAAACGAAAATGAAAATGAAGATGAAGATGCAAATGAAAAATACTTTCAAGAGGGTACAGTATACCTAGAGCTACACAAGGCGCTAAAGATTGCATTTCTTCAACAATACAACTATGACGTGAATATCGAAAAGACAGAAATCAACAAGTTTTTGGCATGTCTTTCTGTGTACAAGGATGGAGGATTGCGGTATGCCTATGAGCTTTGCCCATATCTTGCTCGATTAATTTACAGTTGTCGTCTAGTTGCCGCGTCAGAGTTTCGATGGTTGGTAGAGGAAAAACTAGTCGACGTGTCTTCCATTCCGGATTTCCACAAATCAGACTCAATTGCATATTCCCAAGTTTTTCGATATATAACACCAGGGAATAGTAACTTGTTTGATTTTTTAAGTGAAACCAACAGAATGCTTCATCTGCTGAAAAGAAGAGAAGGATATGCTCATTCGCTTATTGGCTTGAGCCCAACTTTGGTATTGTTTCGACATGCTCCCGATTCGATCTATCCGTGCATTGGCGAAGCTAGAAATGGTCTAGTTCAATTCAGTCTAGATGATTTGATTCAACTGTACAATCGCTTATTCGAAAAGATGCAGGTGCTTTTTCGAGAACTTTGCTTTGGAGTCAAGGTAGAAGAGTTGTTGCCGTACTCACTGCTGAATTCCATTGAAGACGAAATCAACGACAATAGTATAAACTATAGTTTTCTGAAAAATTCTCTGGAATGCTCGATGGCAAAAACAGTTTTACTGCGAACTGTGTTGGAAAATCAAGAACTTCGATCTAGGTTTCTACCTGGAACAACGTGGGAAGGAGTAGAAGAATTTCTGGATTCCAACAAAGACAACCCGATCGGGTCTTTTAATAAAGTGCAATGGTCAAGTATTGCAATTAAGAATTATGCTCAAAAGGCATCGGAATTCAATGAGCTTTTGTACTGTTTGGTGTACATCTCTGCGGGTCAACCGGCGCGAGCCCAAGAAATGGGTTACTGGTATTTTAAAAATACAAAGTTTAAGGCTAGAGAGCTGTACGTTATATTTGGAAGGCTAATGATTTACACCAGGTATGACAAGACACGAAACATGAAGTTTGCTGAAAAGCCCATTGCCAGGTTTCTGCCCGAGCCTCTTTCTATACTTGCAATACGATACTATGCGTTAGTGCGACCATTTGAGTCTTTATTGAATTATGTAGAAACTCACGATGCCAAAGCGGCCTCCATATATGACAAGGCAATGTTTGTTGTAGGGGGTCAGCTATTGACAATGAATGCGCCTTATCGAATTTTTCCAAGAGTGACTTATGAGAATATTCAAAAGTCATTGGGATTTAGGAATTATCGTCACATTGCCCACTACTTTAAGGAAAGAAATATCGAAGAAGAAGGGGTAAGAGATTCGTTCTTTGACATGCAAGCTGGTCATGCACGAAGTACGGCTTTGTTAATTTATGGTCGCACTTCCGATAATTTGAAAAACTTGCCGGCGGATTTTTTCACAAACTTTTTTCGGACAAGTTTTCGATGGCAAGAGCTGTTAGAAATCAAAGGAAATAGCAGTGGTGGATTCATAATTGAGGCCAGCAAGCCACAAAACAAAATTGACCAATTATTGGAAAAAATTGACGAAATAGAAATGACGCAACAACGTTTGTTGGTATGGAAAGCGAAAGCGCCGACACAAGCACAAACTCAGATGCAAATGCAAATGCAGTACGGCGACAATTATGAAAACACACATGTCGTCGAAAAAGAGATTCGTGGGCAAGGACAACAAGGTCAAGAGCTGAATTTGAAA